TGTGCTAATGTGGTGTGGCAACTCGAACTGATGTACGTACGTACGAAGTTCTACGTTGTTATTGACTGACTGACTGACTTGTATTATGGCGTATTTAAGGGAAAAGAAAAAAAGATACCGACATAATTAAATACAATGACTGAATTATTTTTCTCAGATTTTATTGTTTTCTTTCAACTTTCAATGAACCTACTTCATAAGCTGTAGTATGTCTTCCGTGCTGTTTTATTTCAATAAATCAGCATATTTGTTTTTGTATGTTGCACGGACATATTCTCCCATGCACTGACTTTCAGTGTTTACATTTACGTCAATATACAGGTGTTTATTAAAGGTAAGATAATTTTCAGTTGATATCATTTTGAGATGCAATTACATTGAGTCCGATTCTGTGCATAAATTCTACGGCAGAATTATCGAATGCAAACTAAAACACTAAAAATCATCGTGTGACTATGTAACAAGACCTTGTCTTTGAGAATCTTGTGTATTTGAAAAATCTGCGTTGTACTTGTCACCATGAAAATTCTTCATAAGTTCTCTCTGCTTAAGTGTTTTTGCTGTTTCACAGTTATGTTTACATGAAATTTTCCCTTAAATGTAACTATTTCTCATTCCTACGTTGTCATTGTGGCTGCTGTTGCTCATGTTGTTTTCGAACATCTTTTATTCTTACTTCCTAGGTTCGTGCCATTTGTCGGATGTGTAATGTTGATTATGATTTATGCACTACTCCATATCGCGGTCGTACTGGTGGTGCTGTCGGACGTGCACGTGCTGGTGCTAATTTAAGCGCGCTTAAAGCAGTCGCTTCTGTTTCATCTATCAATCCAAAATCGTACTTTTCAAATCTTACATCGATGAATAACTCCAATCAAACAAACCATAATAATAATAATAATAATAATAATAATAATAATAATAATAATAATAGTGCTAGTGCAGATTCTAATTGGTCAGAACACGATATGGTTGAAGTGAAATTCAGTCATTCAAATTCTCTTGACGATAGTGAACAACAACAACAACGTGAAAGCACACTTAACTTTGATGCGAATCCTATGAATCCGACTAATGTTTCGAGTGGTTTTAACGGTGGGCAGTGTTTTTACGTTTTCTTTCCTTCCTATGATTTTTACTTAAGAGGCTTGTGAGTGGTTTGTTAGCAAAAATTAAAATGATGTGAATGCTGATCTACCCCAGTCTTTTGAGAAATAACTTAATATTTTAGAAAAAAAGTTGCTCTCCAACTTTATACAAGATCTATTTTATAATACTTTTGAAGGTTTAAATAACTAAGAATTTAAATGGTTAAGATCATGAGTCAGTTGAAGCTAGACCACCATGGAAAACCTGGAATCAGTGGACGGCTGTTTCGTTCGTTTGTGGGACTCCTCAGCAAGAATTTATTAGCTTCTGTTCACATCGATTATTTTTGTATAGCTCGTATGTAATCTTATTAACTTCCTGTTCATATTTTCCCATGGAATTGAGTGGTATATATATAGTCGTTGAATTTGACATTTTAACTTTTCTTCAATCAGATCCCATTATTACCTTTAGACTAATGCACATCAAGTCAGGATACTGTAAGCATTTCCTCTATCTTTCTCAAAACTTGAAAAGTTCTCGAGGAATTATAGCTTATTCAATAGTTTTCAAAATTTGTTCTGAGTTTGTAAAAGTTATGATTGGAAAATTCTAATTTTATATGATAACCTTAGCTAACCAAAAACGTTCTTCCCCCTCCGTTCAAGTTTATTACGCGGTAACCTTCTATGAAAATGAATCTTTTGGTTTGTTTATCTTTGCCTTACCCTTGTACAACCGATTTAGTGTAACCATTAAAAATCACATATATTCAGCCATCACTGTCTTCGAGATATCGTTTTCATATTATAAAGCGATCTAGTGACTAATGTTCTTGCTAAGTGTTCTACGTAATGGAGGCAAGATTTTGAACCTTTATCGGTTTACGCCTTTTCTGTGTGTGTTGCACAAGTCTATACATCATCCTACCTTAAAATACATTAATCATAAACAGTTTTGGAAAATTTACTGTGTGATGACACAGAATATGGCAAGAATCTATTGATTTTTTTTCTAGATTGTGTTGGGAAATGCAAGCTATTTGTTAGTATCTGCAAAATATAATAAATCCAACGTTTTTATGTTACAAAACATCAGTCAAATTAGTCTAGACACATCCATACTTGTTGATACTAGGAACTACAATCGATCAGTTTTTATTGGGATATATGCATCATTTGTGGATTATCTCGATATTCCCTTTTAGTTACAACTATTCAGTATATTGATAGTGTTTAAAGTAATGTACTGCGTTGTTATCTCAACGTGAACATTAACCCTGGAATTTACATCTAGTTGATGAGTTTCAATCAAAATAAAACTCTCGTCCTACATTCTACGGTCACCTGCAATCTGAATATAGATTTTCTCAGTAATATGTGATAAGGGGTTTTGTGGATATTATAGTAATTCCAATAGTTGAGGTCATGAGCCAATTGAAGCTAGACCCGCATGGAAAACTTGGAAGCACTGGACGGTCGTTTCGTCCTATTGTGGGACTCCTCAACAGTGTGCATCCACGATCTCGCCTCTCGGGATTCGAACCCAGGACCCATCAGTTTTGCGCTTCGAGCTCTGGAGACAATGGTGTATGCGTCGCTCAACCGTGTGGATTTGTTGAAGCTAGACATTAACACAATTGGATACCGGCTCATTGGTCTAGTGGTTAAGCGCACATGCGCGAGACTGATAGGTTCTGGGTTCGAATCTCACGAGGCGGGATCGTGGATGCGCACTGCTGAAGAGTCTCATCGTAGGGCGAAACGGCCGTCCAATGCTTACAGGTTTTCCATGATGGTCTAGCTTCAATTGACTCATGATCTCAACTATTGAAATTAATATGTGATAGTGAAACTGAAATATGATTGGCAACTGAGCGTGGACGAACAGGCACTTGGCTTACCAGCTATTAAATATGTGATTATTTGGTGAAGACGCTGACGAAATGCAGAGTCTTCTAACCACTCTAAGCAACAATGCAAGCATGTCCGGCATGCGATTCTCCCCCTCGAAATGCAAAACGTTGCTTCAGGATTGGGTTGCATCGACACTCGAACTAATGATAGGGAGTGAAGTAATTGAGCGTGTCGATCGCTTCACTTATCTTGGAAGTCTCATCAGCCTTTGTGGTCTGGTGTGTGACGAAATCTCAGCACGGATACAGAAGGCTCGACTAGCTTTTGCCAACATGCGTCATTCATGGCGTAGGCGAGATATCCGTCTATCAACCAAAGGACGGGTTTACTGTGCAGCAGTTTGTTCCGTCCTACTTTATGGCAGTGAAACATGGCCGGTAAGAGTAGATGATATTCGTAGGTTACTAGTATTTGATCATAGATGTCTTCGAAGCATTGCTCGTATATCCTGGGACCACCGAGTAAGTAATACAGTTGTTAGGAAACGGGTACTAGGTAAGGATGGCAAATCGATTGATGACGTAGTGAAACTTCATCAGTTGAGATGGCTGGGACACGTGCTACGTATGCCCAACCACCAACTGCCCCGACATGCAATATTTTATGGTGTAGTAGTAGGTTGGAAGAAATTTAGGGGCGGCCATACCAAAACACGTTACAAACCCATGAAGTCACTGACAAGTGGACTGAGTCATGTTGGTAGGTGTAGACTACCTGTTTGGGGACCGCGAGATGATAGCAACCGATGGTTAGAGACCCTGAATGGCATGGCTCAAAATCGCTTGCAATGGTGTGGGCAGGTGCATCCATTCTTTGTGTTCTCCCAAATTCTAATCTTCTGGATTCTCGTTGTCTTTTTTTCTCTTTCCAAATTTATTTCACTGTATTATACTCTTTAAATAACATCTCCAAGCACTAATCTTCCCGATTACTGCTTATAGTCTTACTATTTCTACCACTACGGGATTTGAATCGACCACTGCATCTGTGTGCTAATGTGGTGTGGCAACTCGAACTGATGTACGTACGTACGAAGTTCTACGTTGTTATTGACTGACTGACTGATTTCCGTACCTCTCCTAACTCACTGCATGTGACTGATTATACTGAATCAATTAACATCTAGTGTTAATCTCATTCCCTATTCCGGGTTGTGAATCCTGGTTCTGATGTAACGTGACTAGTCTTATAATCGTATTGACGTATTATCGATGTGTACCTGAGAGAGAAAAATACTTTAAACTATCCGTTATATCGATGGTCCTTTCTTTTATTTGAAGTCTTTACTAATTTCATCATTAAAATTAATTCGTTTTATATTATTTCGCAGAATTGTTCTTATTCTACAGTTAACCACAATCAATGTAAAATTGAGCACAAATATGCATCAACCCAACCCACCATATCAAATTTGCACAACGAGTTGAAATAATAGTATGAATAGCTAATGCATCGTAATAATTGTAGTACCAACAGTATTTTTTAAAGAAGAAAAGACTGTGCATACAGAACACCTTTTACAAAAAATAATGGTCAGAACAAACAAGCATCAATGCTTTGAAGCCAATGAGACCGATTTCAAATTATAACTTAAAGCCTCCAACTATTAGTCTCGATTATCACACAGATCTCAAGCAGGCACTCTATAACTACCACCATGGCTGGGACTAACAATCAATTACTTCATGAAATGATATCTCCTTTCAGCTTATACCCTATCTCGCTCGATTTTGTTTCAACCAACTCCTTCGTATATTTTATTTTACATTAAAATTTGTAATATGTTAAGCTAAATACCTATATGATTAAATGTTTAACTGTTTGATGTATAAGTCAGTAAAAATTTTGATAAATCTAATTTTCGTTGCAATAGGTACTTCAGGATTTAAAAAGTAAAAATTCGTCATCCTGTTGCATTCATTATTATTATTACATGTAAACTTGATTAAATTTTTTGTTTAGTTGGACACAAGCGTCTACATCAACATGGGAATCCTACAACTCCTTCCAGTGGAAGTTTCAATGTGGAATTGTCTACAGCTAACTCGTTCATTGTCCCCGGTGGTGGTATTCGACGGCGATCAAATCTTGGTCTAATTTCTTCATCAATTAATCCAAAAAAGATTTATGAAAGTTGGCTGATGACTTTACGGATTCGTACGTATTTCGCTAATTTAAGAGTTGTCCAAGATCCGGAATTATTGTCTCAATTATCCTCACGCATTGAACCCAGTGGTAAAGATTCAAGAACTGTCCAACCCGCTGTTGTATCTTCAGTAGGCAATGCTGGTACCACTACTACCAAGAATAATAACAGTTCTGCTAATGAAGGAAATGATCCACAGCAGTTATATACATCCAATCTCCCATCCTCCAACAATAATACAAAATTAAAAGGTAGCGATTCTTTTGAAAAACTATGGATAAGTATTAGTGAATATTTGTTATTTTGTGTCCTTTTCAATTCATGGATTATCTGTTCTCTCGCAACCTGTGTATTTAAAAAATATTTTTGTGACGGTTACTGAACAATTTACTTGGGAAAGTATAGGATTTTATGAAAATTCTGCAGTGTGATTGATGTATCAAATACTGTTTCGTATAGTTGACTTTGAGTTAGAATTTTTGCGTGTGAGCTATTGAAAGTACCTGGCTTCTCGAAATAAAGTGAATGAAGCTGGACCAAAATGAACTGAACTACCTGCATATTTAATTATATTGATATCAGATTGAAATAATGTGATATATGAAACACGCCCTCACCTCAAAATTAAACTCAGTTATCAGTTGAGACACAAAACCTCGAAACGTGTGAACTCTACATATAAACAAGCCAAAATTCAGTTCTAAAAAATGGACAGCACCGTTCGCTAGTATCGGTGTTCATTAAATTGCCCCCCAAAAAAAACATGCCAAAAGTTAACCAAATTCGGAATTATCAACCGTTCACTCTAAATCTGTAACCGATGATCCAAGGCTTTTGTCGAGACTGTTCTAATTTCTAGATGATTTCTGTCACGGATTAATATCACTTAACGTACCATTGAAAACTAGAGAGCACTAAACAGTTATTTTTTGCTACGATACCCAAAAGTACTGAGTTTGATCTCTGATGTGGTTGTGGGTGCTCACTTACAAAAAGTCTCGTGATAGAGCGATACATTTGTTCAGTGCTCCTTGGTTTTAAAAATTACCCTAAGTGTGATCAATCGACTGTGAATATCACCCACAAACTAGAGATTTTTTGAATATGCATTTCCAAGCACCGCTGTCTAGGATAGTGCAAAACAATCGTAGCTTGTTGATTAGGTCATCCGACTCTTAATCATTAGATTGCAGATTAAAACTATTCTCTTTCTACCTTGATTTATCCAATCGAATAATATCACCATCTCTTTCACAATGGTAAGCGGCCGTCAAAGGTAGTGACTAACACTTTAACCAGTATATTCAGTAAATGAATTGCTACATTACTAATTTGGTCATTTGAACTGATAGACATTTGTACTAAATCCTGTGTTGATGATAGCTAGTTGATTGGCTTGTGACAATTTATGTGTTTTTCAAATAACACCAGTTTTCGAACATGGATTTCACAAACACATATTTGTTAACTATGATTCTATTCTATCCATGTATACGTGCGATTAATAATCATCTTCACAAAAAATATGCTACGTATTTATTTACTATATAGAAATGGCATTTTTCGCATTTATCACTTGTATGTGAAGTGAATAAATGATATATGGGAGTGTGTGTGTAAATAAACACATCTTTTTTTAATATTATACTTGAATCAGTGTGGACAGTAGGAAATAAATTCTATCCAGTTGTCGGTGGATAACACTGAATCTAGAACTTAAAGTTCATGTCGTTTTTTTCGAATGAGTTATAAATCATCGTTCATTACATTCTTCTCCTTCCTTCCTTTTGTTGACTATATACAGCCAGTCAGCTACAACGTAAGACCAGGCACATATGTGCATCGGTCTAAGTTGACATACCTCATTAGCACAACAAGATAAACACTGGATTCATAGAAGTAGTTAATTCAGTGTTGGTAATATATAAAAGAAAGATCGCATATAAGGACATAGTACAGGAAGAAAAAAAAATATGAAGCGATTTTAATCTCATAGTTTAAGGGAAGACAAAGAGTGTATACACCTAAGCCATTATGATCGATTCTGAGCTATGTCACTCACAGTCTCCAATCACTGGTTACGATAGTCACACGGACCCCAACCAAGTAGTGTGCATCAAACCCTAATCTTTCTGAATACTGCTTATACTCTTACTACCTCTTCCACTACGGAATTGGAATCGACAGCTGCATCTCTGTGCTAATGTGGTATGGCAACTCGAACTGATGTACGTACGTACGAAGTTCTACGTTGTTACTGACTGACTGATTCTGCATCTACCAACATGGCTCAGATCAGAAGTTAGTGACTTCAAGCACTGATGCCACGTTTTGGTTTGGCCGCCCCTAACTTTCTTCCAACCATCCCTAACACTAGTCAGCATTGCGCGTCGTGGTCCAACAGCACTCAAGACCACTGTTGACTATATACAAGCTATGTAAAAAATTCCCTTCAACTTCTGGATTCCGATACATTGAATGTCCAATCCAGTTGGTTAACTTATCATGTGAATATCTATTAGTTGTTGCTCAAATATGTCTATTCAGCTGCAACATGAGTGTTTTGATGAGTTTCGAGTTATGGACAAATCTTTAATTAACATATTTTATGTAGTCTATATGTACTGTAATGATGAAATTTCGTCCTGTGATATGTTTTGTATGTGGTTTTGTTGTTATCCGGATCAGTTATCAAGCAACATAAAACTTTTATGCGAACAAATCAGGCTTATGTATAGATTAGTCTTGATTAAGTAAACTAAATTGTTATTACATTAGATAAGTGACTAAAACTGAGTGAAATTTAGTATGTATTTACAAAACATAACAAACAGTTGTTTCCATGGTCACCAGGTTTGCACACACCAGTTGTATGGAAAATTTGATGGTCAAATATTTGACTTACTCTTTCATCGGTTTCCAACCATACCCCACCTATTTCGGTTGGGAAAATTGAATAATATCCCTAACTTAAGCACTATACATTGTATTCAAGTCCGATTTCACTACGTCTTAGATTGTTGTGGTTATCAGTTAAGCGATCGCCAGATCCAATTTTCTCACTTACTAATTAGGTTTCTTAGTTTATTTGAGTGAAAACCCAATGGTTCTAAGAGTAACTTAGATCTTATTTCAAGTACAGTCGTTGTTCCCCGTGAAAACTTCAATGTTTCACATGGATAGAAAAAAGCATGAATGATTTGTAGGTTAGTGGATAGCGCGTTGGGGTTTCAGTTGATAAGTATCTGGATTCAAGTTTCAGCGTGGGACGCCAACACTGAGATGCGGTACATCTCAGATAGGATAATTTGCACGTTTTGTGTTCCACTGCCTGATATAATATTGGTATGCTAGAAAACATGTGATTAAAAGAGAATATCTAGTCATCCTCTTAGGTTGGATGTATCCCTACAGTGACTTACCAATTTTAGCTCCTAATATCAACAAGTGGGAGATGCAAACATTTACAAACAAACTTACAATGTTTAGTTCGAACATAGTTTTAGTAGTGGACTGGCATCAACTAAATTATCACCAAAAGAATATCCCTAGAAATATCTGAAATTTCACCGATAGATCTTATTTTCAAAAAGTGACTAAAAAGAAAACAAATAAGTACTGGATACCTGTTCCATTATCTTAATTCGAGGTTCTTTAGCTGTCCACTATCATAGTAGGAACCATCTAAAATAAAGTCAGTCTATTTTTCTTTTCTAGTAAACTTTTTATTTATTGGGACTTTTTATACTCTTTTATTGTAGGCATAAAGCTGTCTCTCACAAAAACTTCTGCAGAGTCTGTTATAGTCGAGTCGAATACAAACAAAAAGTCTCCACTTAAAGTTATCAACGTATCGACAGAATCCCCATATGTACCATCAGCAACAGTAGCAGCATCAATCACATCTCATCCAACGTCTACGGATCCAAAAGATATGTTTACCCGACCATTACTAGGCGCACAATCTGTTGAAGATGCTCGCAAACTATTAGCCCTAAGTGTAGGTGGTAAACGTTCTTCCCAGAGACGTTTACCAGTGTTCACTTTCCCGAATCACTTTCATTACAACAATACTCATAATGTCGCTCAGTCTTTGTTCATTACATCACCAGTTCGACCATATGCTGGTATTGGATTTGGACACCTGAAATCGCAACATTATAACAATTCTAATGTATCATCGTCTATAGGATCATCTTATCAAGTAAATAATAATACTATCATACAAATGTCAAATAACAGCGCACCGAAATTATCATCCACCTCTAATGCTACCATTTCCACATGTTCTAATCATTTACACCATCATCATCATTATAGTAATACTCAGCTTATATGCCCACAACCGACTCGATGTTATTCCACTCCTACCGGTACAACAGGCAGTAAAAGTCTCCTGTTGGATAATCTTATCCCAATACCATCTCGTATAGCTAATAATATGAACGATAGTGGGAATAGTAATTCTACATCGAATCAAATGTATGCTATGCTACCAAATCAAAGAGATTCTTGTCATTTGCATCAGCACCAGCATTCTTTAACTCATCACCAACAGGCATCAGCATCTCCACCTCATAATCGAGGCCAAGCAACTATGAAACATCAATATTTTAGTCAGGCAACACATCAGAATACAAATTATCAATACCAAGTATGATTGAGTGTTGTTTTTACACCTTCATAATTATCTGTTTTATCCCTATATCATTCTCATGTAAAGACAATTAGTAAATTTTGCCAAGGTATACTTTAACTAGTCGCTAACAACAGGTTGAATTAAACTGTTGTATTTGAGGTCGTAGTTAATGTTCATGCGTTTACATTGCAATCATAATCTTCATTTCGCATGTAAATGTGGTTACACCACAAATCTCACCGTCGTTGGAGTACTAATATTGTATGATATGTGTATCACAAGATCTCAGATTTAAGTTCGTTTTCAATCACCCTGGAAAGTCGTACTAGTAGCATTCGAGTGCTCAATTCAACTAAACATGTACAAGCCTAAGTACAATAAAAATATATCTTTAACTTTTTAAAATAAAACATACATAACTGCTATGTCACACGTAGTCTGTCCAGTATACACGCTAACTGAGCTATCGCCTATTTATTGGTGAAAACACTGAACATGTACAGTCTCGTTCTTCCCAATCTTCAGTTCACTGTCTTCATTATTACTAATGAACTGAGTTCTTGAAAATCGTTTGTGTACACAATTCTAACAAAACATTTGGGGTTGAGAAACTACTTACGTGCAAAAATCGTTCCGAAACTGATGACACCTGAATAAAAAGCTAACAAAAACTGAATCAGGATTTTATAGGTACGAAATCTATTCGAAATCATAGACCAACAAATGAAAGATAAAACGTGAAACGCCAAGGCAGCTGACGTGTCTAACTTCTGGAGGCCAGTGATGACTTTTACGGAAGAGGCAAGCGTATAACCACAATTAAGGATTACCTTGAAAGGAGCAAGATTCGTGCACCTTAAATTTTGCAGACTAAACGTTTTGTGACCTCAGTCCTTGTACTTTATATATATATATATATATATATATATATAATCTCATTTTGTTTTACAGCAGCAACAGCCAAACCCTCAGTCTCTATCGAATTCCATTGGATCTCGTCTAACACTAAATTCTAATACTGCTACAGTGTTATATCCATCTTGTCCCGGTATTTCATTACAGCAACAGATGACTTGCCCACATCGGTCTACTAATTTATCTGGTGGAGGTGCCTATCCCTCAAATCGGCAACAACAACAGGCAACAGTACAATCAGGTCGCTTTAGAGAACAATCATCGTTGCAACAGCATCAGCATTCAGTTTCGTTCAATTTCGATGAGAACTATTTATATCCTACTGCAAATACACTTCCACTTGGTGGTTCAATGCTGCCTATACCTCGTAATTATCGACAGTCTATAATACAAAGAATAATTCCACAATGTAAGTTTTCTATATTTGATTTGATGGCATTTTCAGATTCACACGAAGATCATTCAGTCCCATTACGAGCCAGTTAATGGTGTTTAAAATATCATTTAAATGGTCATAAACAGCTATTAGAATTTTTACATCTAGGCTTCACTTTTAATTTGTATATTGTGCATGTTAGTGTTGGTTACTAACATGCAAAAACACTTTGCTAGTGATGAAGAATGCTGTACATTATGATAGATAGGGGGGAGGGGACAGAAAAATGTTTCAAAAGAATGTTTATCAAAGACGTGCTTTATAAACTTAAAGTTTATAAGCAAAGATGGATAGTGGCTAGCAGTGGAATTCAGGACGCGCGTTTCGTCCTGTTTGGGACTCGTCAGCCGAATGTGCCTGCACCCTAGAATTGATGTCCACTCCGAGACTCGAGCCCATTACCGTCCGCTTCAAACGCCATCGCGTTATCCACTTAGCTATTGAGTCCTAATAGCCACCTGCTTGTGCAATGGGGTGTAGTTCAAATTCACTAGATGTTGTTTGCTTACATCTTCCCATTGTTGTCTAGGACTGCAATCCTCACAGGATGCACATATGCCAACAACAGACTGATCAATTGCAGTCTTAGACAACAATGGGAAGATACAAGCATACAACACCTAGTGAATTTAAACTTAAAGTTTATTTGTTCGTGACTGTGATCATAAACCAAGCACATTGATGGATTATTTAAATCCAATCAAGTAATTTTTGGCTTTTTAGTCTTTTTGTCACACACAAGTCACTGTATCTTTTGTTCTAATAACTAAATTACTAGTTTTCATAAATAACAAAACTGTTTAGATGCTATATTTTTTAAAATATGCATAACTATTGTTTGTTTACTTCAATTACAATAACATTACTGTCTATCATTTTTTCTATAATTTTCTACGTTTTCTAATTATTAGGTAACAAACCATAAAGCTTTAGCTCTTAATACACATTATATAAGAAAGTCCAAAGTTCTTAGAGTAATGTAAATATTTGCTTTGATGATCATCTGTATGCAAATCACTAACCAGGTTTATACACTTAGCATTTGAACAATATACTGTTCGTGTCTGTGTATGTGTGTATTGCACCTTGAGATGATAACTGATATCACTTTATGAATTCGCCATTCAGAGCTCTGATTAGGATTTCTCTATTTCGTGTCTGCTCTCTTACCCAAAGCCTAACGCCCTAGGCGTAATCAATTATACATCCTGGTCGGTACAATTAACCTTGAACTATCGCAAGCTGCATTCTTTTTTATCCACCTTTCCTCAAGCCTTGAATTTGAAGAGACATTTTCAGTCAAGCATCTATTATTATCTGTTCTAATCACCCAGCCCAATGAGCAAGCAAAGCAAACAACTATCTCTAACACTCATTAGATCATTTACATAAACCATCAAACCGCACAGGACACGAGTGACAGAGAGTGAAGTAAACAACACATAATCAAGCAACAATCATTGAGGAATAATAACAAAACGTATGACAACAGTTAATAAGTTAACTGAAAGCTTAAAACTAGGAGAATGTAGAAATACAGTGGTACAGTTACCTACTAGTTACACAATAAGAAAAAAGAAAAATAATCTAAAAAATAGTTCCAAAATTCCTACCTTTTGCAGTAACCGTCCCGTCAGAATAGTATGTGTGTATAAAACCGCTATAACGGTACCAACCCCCAGTTACCCAAACCAAATTATACGAGTTTCTCTGAAGTCTATCATTTACTGATGAGTAACTTACATTAGTGATTGCTATGTAATTATGTCCTCTCTAAAAATTATCTCTGTAACTAATCTTTCAAATATCAAATCATACTTTCCTTATTTTTATCTAATGCTCACACTTCTAAAACGATAGAGAATATCTGTAACTCAAGACGAGAAATTTGAAAATGTTTTTACTTTTTTTCTTGTTCTCTTCCTTATTACCTTATCCTTCATTCATCGCTCTTTCACAATTCAATAGACTTAAATTGCAAGCCGACTCGGCCACCACCATATGAAATAGCTTTGGCTTTAAAATATCCTCAAAATGCCAATTCACAACGAGTATATCAATCACTGGAAAATGACACGATTAATACGCGACATGAAAATAATAACAATAGTATTAATAATAATTATTATTACCACATAGCAAGTAATTTATCATCTGGCATTAAACATGGAACAGGTAAATTTTGTAATTATAAATTATTATTGTTTTCGAGTTTTTGTGTAAGTAGATAATCTTACCAATCATATTTCCTTATCTTGTCCTTAAATTACCAACGTTAAGCTTTAAAACTGGATGATTGGCTAGTTGGTCAATGTATGCGTCAATATGTAGCCAGATTATTATAGAAATTAAAAATCTTCATAGTTGGTATGTGTCTGATCACTTCACTAAAATCTGGCTTATAAAAATTTGTTGATGAATTGATGATGTTATCCAATTAATTCCACGTTGACCTAAAGAATTCACTTAATGTTTAATAGATTACATTACTCTGGCTATCAACGACATGACACTTATCGTAGAGTTTCAGTTTAATGGTGTCCAGAACAGGTCACTTTTGACAAAAGGAGACTTCAAGTATTCAGTAGTTACTACATCTTTTGTCCCTTACACATAAATATGGTGTCAGATGAGTGAAATATTGTTATGGGTACAATTTCAGGTAAGTTGGATGAGTCAGTCAGTCATCTACAACGTAGTACCCGACAGTTTCTGCTACTTTAACCGATCGGGCTATACAGTCTGGAACAAACGTCGTTCAAGGTCCTACCATGCCAGACAGGTCGGTTGAAGAGCGGTAAGACTAAAAGCAGCAAACCCAAGGTCCGAGGGCGGAGTTTTACTGCTGACTGTACAGAGGTATGACGGCATTAAGGTGTTTCCTTCAGACAATCAGCATAGCAACGATGCTGCCTTCCCATTAGGAGGGGTGGGTTTGGAAAAGGTCGACCTTAAAAGTGCACATCTCGCCTTATCTCACGGATTTCCGTCTCCGGCGGTAAGGTTTCAAAAAGTACGGAGCTAACACGAAAATTGTCCACAAAAAGGACATGTGTGACCGATCTCAAACAGTTGTCCCTTAGGCACTACAGTCATGCTCTCAGGTCACCAATACCACCCCTAACCCAATTTCCTTTCCAGGCATCGCCGGAAGAACCCTTCAACGGTGTGGGCAACCGGGAAGTGATAACCACCCTCATACCTCTAATAGCACTCGAGACCACTGTACCCCTATTATTCCTCCTACCTCGACTTCCAACTCTAAACTTGATTATAGCCAGATACGATACCCAGTCACTCATTAGCTGTTGTTTTGACGACTTAGATTAAATTTAATAGTTGAATTCATGAGTCGATTTAAACTAGACCACCATGGAAAACTAGAAGTATTAGACGACCGTTCTATCCTAGCGTGGGACTCTTCGACCTCGCGTGCGAACATTTAACCTCTAACCCACTGAGCCGGCATCCAACGGTGTTAATGTCTAACTTCAACCAATTCACGATATTGCGCGATCATCCACCATTGTCTCCAGTGAATAATTGCCTCACAACAAACCCGGTTGAACTCCACTGGCCACTGCTTCTCACTAGAGCTCCAGGAAATACATTTTGAAGGCAGTCACTAGTGAGCACATGATGATTATCAAAATGGGGGGTCTGTGGAGACTGTAGTAATTTACTATTTGGATTCATGAGTCGATTTAAGTTAGACCGCCATGGAATCATATGAAAAACAATGAATTTTCATCTATGATGTACATAGTTTCAAATTTGATAGTTTCTTTTTAACTGTCTGACTGACTGTAGGTGACATAATAGGATGATAGAAATATATTTGATCTTTCTGTAAATTTTGAATGTCCCACTTATTTCCCATTTCTTATATCATTTTTAGTTTATTATAATAACTTTAACTGTCTTATTCATTGAATTTGACAAACTGTAATAAATTTAAATGTGATATCATACCTTATTTATTTTCTTAAATATCATTTTAGTGAATTACTGACATTCTGCACCATTCAGAGCATTTTCAGTTAAAACCTTAAAAATCAAATTTGTCTGGCTATGCGAATATTTTACTTACTTTTTTCTTATTGTATTCTTTCATATTAAACACTCAATTTTAAATCTACCAAATAGAATTACCGAACGCTATCCCACTTACTTCATTCTGAGCAGCTATGAAATATCTTTGGGCGTTATACAGTTCTATGTGACTCAAAACTAGGCGAATGTGGACTTATTGTTTCAGTAACGCTATTGAAATAATTTTATACTTGATAATTTCAGGTAACTTAAAATAAAGCGATATATATAGCTTAGTATGTAGAAAGTATATAATTCTACAAGAACACCTAAAATGGTACTGAACAGGAATTGACATATATTGTATTTTATAAACTCCAGTAATCAATAATTTTTCTAAAGAAGGCTGAATTCACACTACCTTTTTAATTTGAACGTTTCAGTTCTCTGAGCTTAACTCTTTCGAACACGTCACAGATGAGTGAAATATCCCCTTAGTGCTTTAATCACTCTTTTATGGTTACTATAACTTTGAGATCTTCATAGTGAGTTTTTGAACTATTCACATATCTTTTCCAACCTTATAACTTCGATTTGCAAGATTCTACTTTGCACTCCTATGACTTCTTTAAGTTTGGCACATTGAACTGCTTTTTGTTTGTGTATATTGTTGTTACTAACTGAATAGGACTGCTTTCATTCAGCTCTTTAGAACATTTGATTAAACCTTGAGAATCATGCGACCTGCCAAATACTATGTAGGGTTGAAACTTAATCCAAGTTCTAGTTGTCATTTGGTTCCTGGCTACACTGTCAGTATTACGTCGTTCTTACTATCATCTTTCTCTCCTATATCTACTTATTTTGTCAGGACACACACCTCACAATAAAATTATAATTTGCAAATCATAAAAATCATGCATCACTCCAAAGTAAATATGACTTTTCTTCTAGTTTTATAGTGAAATGTTTTATTTTGGATTTGATTACACTGTGTGATCAGGATTATATGTCCACGTTCTGATAAATAATTAGATTCATCTAGCTTATTATGTAACGCATGCTTCGTTATTTCTCCTGGTTTTCGGTTTTTGTTTTTTGTTCGTTTCTCTCATCTCTTTCAAGTTGGTCATGTTCCATTGGCACAAACTCACACACAAATTCAAAATTCAAAGTCAGATAAACAATTGTTTACTGTTAAGCAGTTACCGGATAAAAATTCACAAAATCCTATAAATTATGTCTCATCTACAACAACATCGACAACAGCAACTTCAACGATTGTGTCTTCACGTTCAGAATTCAGTAACAACAGTAATAATAGTAATAATAATCTGCAATATAGACCATCTGAACGGAATAAATCCTCTACAGTGTGTCAGTCATTCCAGCAACGTATACAAGAACGACCTTCTCCGCCATCTTATCAGCAGGTAAGATGTAATTCATCTTATTTATTTGTTGTATAGTTGAGTGTGTTACTTTCTAAAGTTTTTTTCATCATGTGAAATGACTGGTTAGGTCAGTCAGTCAGTCAGTCAATCACAACTTAGAACCTGGTACGTATATACATCGGCTCAAGTTACCATACTCCATTAGAATGGCGAGATTAAATTGTCAGGCCAAATCCCAGAATAACAGAAGTGGTAGCATTATCAGTGGTGATTGGAAATGTTAAGCATCGGAGATTGTAATTCAAGTAAATTTAAATCATTGAAATGGAAACACAAGAAAAGTTATGAGGAATTTAGAAGCTCATAATTTGGAGGAAGACAAAGAATAAATACACCTGTGCCATTGCAGACGATTTTGAGCCATGTCACTGAAAGTCTCCAACCGTTGGTTACGTTAATCATGCAGACGCCAACCAAGTAGTCTACACTCGATTGACGTGGTTCAGTCCAGTCGTCGATAACTTCATGGACTGGTGTCATGTTTTGGTCTGGCCGCCGCTAGCTTTCTTCCAGCTTAGTCTTACACAGATAACATCTCTCATCGAGGTAGGCGGTGGTTGATGAAGATTTACTACCTCATCAGTCGGTTTGCCATCCTTACCTAGTACCCTATTCCTGACCCAGGCACCACTTACTCTGTGTGTCAAACATACACGAGCGATGCTTCGAAGACACTGACGATTGAATACCAGTAGTAACTTACAAATATTCTTTACTTTTAGTAGCCAGGTTTCACAGTCATAAGTTAGAAGTCCACTGAACTTTTAGAATTTGTGCCAAGACTTTGTCAGATACCAACCTGTCAGGATTGGTTAGGATGTAAAAATAATCGGAGGTCGATGTGCTGAACTACTTCACTCCCTATTCTTAGTTCAGGCGTCAACACAGACCAGTCCTATAGTAACATTTTGCATTTGGGTTGAGAGGACCGCATCCAGAACATGCTTGGATTGTTGCTTAAAGTGGCCAGCGTCTTCACCAAAAAGAACTGTGTATTTGCGTATTCCAAGTCAACAAGTGAATCTCCTGGTAGAAAACCAACCTCTGGAAAGTTAGACGATGAAAGTGCTATCTCTAAA